AGGCCAATATGTAGAGGAAAATAAGGTTAACTAGAATTCTAAAATTTTTCAAGGTTTTGATGATGTTTGATATAAAAAATTAATAGCTTTATTTCTTTTCTTTTTTTTTTTCTTTTTGAGAAAGGATTTTGCTATGCTGTTCAGGTTGATCTTGAGCGTACTTCAACAGTTGCCTAAAATAAATTATCTATATGCAGGGAGATTATTATTATTTTGTTATTATTAGTAGTAACAGTAAACAGTAATAAGTTTTGTGCTTGCTGTCTAAAACTGTTAATAGAAGTCAAAGGCTCAATAACACCAAAATCATGATTCACTTATAAAACCTGATTTAACACAGTAATTGCAACTTCACTATTAGCCTGAAGGGCAAGAACTTATGCAGGAGCTGCCAACAGGCAAACAAAATGTGACTAGTTTTCTACCTCCTCCATTTAAAATAAGGAATTAGGGGCTGGTCAGATGGTTCAGTGGTCTAAAGCACCTACTTAGAACAAGCTTAGCAAAGCACAGGGACAACGGTTCAGTCCCTCAGCACTACATGCCAGCCAGCCCCGCCCCTGGTGGGCTGAGCTGGCCACACACACACACACACACACACATATAAATAAATAAAATTTAAATAAATAAAATAAGGAATTAATGAGTATGAATATGCCCAATTTGATATCTTGACAGCTTCCAGGACACATACTTTGGAAACTCTGTGTCTAAATAATTGGGCCAGGGGCCGGGGATATGGCTCAGTAGAATATGCACTTCTCTGGCAAGCGCAAGGGCCTGAGTTCAATCCCTGGTTCTGAAAAAAAAAAAAAAAAAGCAAATAAATAAATAAATAATTGGGCCATTGATTATTTCTGGAACATAAATTAGATCCTCTAATTTAATCTTATTTAGACCTCAAAATTATAATACAAACATTTTCAGATAACTTTCCATTTTTTCTTCATGATTATTTCTTTTGATAAATCTTTCCTGAAAAGACATATCTATTAAGTGACTAGACACTTGCTATTCTTTAATTACTAATAGCAGCATATGTAAACATCCTTACATTCTATGCTCATAATTTAATAAGAAAGTTAATGTGTCTGCAGAAATGCCTTAAAGTTTATTGGAATTCTCCATGTTACTTTTTTTGGGCTATTTTTTTAAGTGAGTTAAAAAAAGTCCTCAAGAGAAATGTCTTCTAGGAAGCACAATCTCATAATCCCTTCTCTGTGTGGGTGTTTTTTGTTTGTTTGTTTGTTTGTTTAACTTTTCAGACTTCTTCAAGGAGTTTAGAATTGCAGATAAGGGTCAATTAGTGGCAAGAATAGACTTAACTGTAACTGGGACTTCTTACTATTCTCTGTGTAACCCAGAAGTGTTAATATTTTCCTGTGGAAATGTGAAGTGCCCAGGATGTGGCCCTGTACTCTCTGGGGCCGCCACACAATCTGTTGCGGCTGTCTGGTATTTTCTTTCCAAATATGAGAATCTCTGATATGTGAGACCCATCTGACCCCAGCAGTTTGGGACGTCCACAGAGCACTGAGATACAATGGGCTTATCTGGCAGCAAAAGCCTGTGAGCACAGGACTCCTCACCACAGGCTGGCAGGCCAGTCAGGTGAGCTCCAGGCCCACTGTCCCCGTATAAATGAGGAAAGTAGAGCAGAGAGGCTGAGCAGCTTGCTGCAGGTTCTCCAGCTTCAACTGAAATGTAGATGAGCCTTCCAAGGTCATGCTTGGAAACCTAAAATACAGGAATCAGTATAGCCAAAGACCGGGTCTCTGAAATAAAAGCACAAGGATTCTGTAAAAAATCATGTCCTTTCCAGCAAAAGGCAGAGCTTTAAGATGATGGCAGTCAGGTTCATGTGACATGAATATGAAACTGGAGAATCTTTCTGTTAGAAAAATGAACAGCCTCAAGGAAATGACACAGCAACCCTGACCTCGGGTGATGTCCTCCTGCAGAGATCACCTGCCAAGTCCTGACCTTGCCCAGTGAACATTCAAACAGCTCCTTAGAGCCTCTCTTATAAATAGAAGGATGTATTCAGCCATTTCTGTTCCTGTAATGAAATACTTGTAGCTGCCTAACTTACAAAGTGAAAAGGTTTGTGCAGTTCACAATTTTAAATCCAAGCAGCACAGCATCACTTGGTCAAGGGGTCCTATGACTGTGTGACATCAGGGCACAAGGCATCATTCAAAGGAGTGCAGGTGAAAGAGAGCAATCACGTGAGGAACCAGGAAACCAGAAGGAATTAGGTCCCATGAGGACTATGTTAGTCCTTCCAAGAGCACACGCACAGTGACCTCTAACCTCCCACTAGGATCTACCTCCTTAGATCCCACACCTCCTCTCAACATCTTCACCTAGCCAGTCTTTATAAGACACACTTAAATCACATCCAAACCATAGCAATGGAGCCTCAAGGATCACCAGACATTTGAGGAAAACCAAATATGGAAGAGATCAAAATAAACACTCAATAATAGGGTACTTAGAGCAGAGGAAACACAGAATGTTAAGAGTTTCAGAGAATATATCATTAATACCTCAGATTAAAAAAGACTCCAACCATAAAAAAATGAAGACACTATTTTAAAAATGAGGGGAGTACAGTAGAGGAGAAAATAGGGTATGTGAAATTTTAAAATAGATTGGCTGACCTGTACAAGCTCAATAAAAGGTCCAGGCAGTGGAATTTTTCAGAAATTAGTGCATAGAACAAAGGTAAAAATTGAGGAAGTAATTAAGGAACTTACAAATTTATTTCTGATTTCTAGGGAGAGAAACATGAAAAATGGTGAAGAAATTACCAACTTAAGGATGAATTTCAAAAACTGCAGATTATAACTTTTTATGAAATAATAAGGAATCCTAATTTGATTATATATATATAATGAAGTTGCAGAATACCAGGAATAAAAAGAAAATAGTAAGAATGAAACCTTCTAAAAAATTAAAAGAAAAAAATTGTTATCCCACAGAGTAAAGTAATTATAATACTCTGAGATTTCTCAGTAGCAGTTCTGTATTTGGTATGACAAATCACGCCTTCCATCTTAGAACTCCATATATAGATATTGTATGGCTAAGTGTACCCAAAGGCCTATATGCTAAAGGCATGATAACTAGGGTAGTATCTTTTGAAAACAGTAGAACGTTTAAGGGTTAGGGTTTAGTGAAGCAAGTTAGGTCACTGAGGTCATGCCCTAGCAGGGGACACTGCAATCCCACCCCTTGCTCCTCTCTAACTTTGCTTTGGGAGCATGGCACTATGATATTCTGCTGTGTCATAGCCCCAATGCCAACAAAGCTAAATCCTCATGGACTGACACCTCTGAAACCATGAACCAAAATAACCTTTCCTCCTTAGAAGCTGAATCTCAGGTATTTATTATGGTAACAAAAACCTGATTAGCACAATAGCCAAATAAGGAATCAAGTGATGAAGTTATTTATAAGCATTTAAAGACCAAAAATGTTACTTGTCCTTGAAGCCAACTGTAATAAGCCATGCAGGACTTTGCTTCCATGAACAGGGATTTCACCAAGAAATAGCAAAATTGGGTTCAGAAATCTGAGGACATTAATCCAGGCCTAGAGGAAAACAGTTTTAGACTCAAAGGAATGGATAGACTTAGTAGGCACTCTCTGTAAGGGAACAGAATAGAGACAATGACAATCTTTTTTTTTTTTTTTTTTTTTTTTTTTTTTTTACTCTGCTTTAGTATGAAAAAATTGCTAGTAATTGTGTAAAAGATTTCCAGGACTTTATGGAGAAAGGAAATTGCAAAACATATGGAAAAATGGAAATTTCTTTAAAATAATAAGTTGAGGATAAATGAGAGGTAACTAAAACTTATCTGAGAGTCTTACATTTCCAAATGCTACATAAGGAGCCAGTGTGAAAGAATTAAAACATTCAAAATAAAAGAATTAATGAAACTATTGAAAAATAAATTTAAAAGCATGAGAAATACCTGAAAGAGTTGAAAATGGTTGTAAATACATTTTGGGGATACACAAATTAGAAAGCAAAACATTTCCTTATTTTTCCACAAAAAAAAATCTTTTTACAAGATAGCCACTAAATATCCCTTCCAAAATTATCCTATTGCTATTCTTCTGTAAATACTTCTACTATCCTCACAATATCTACTTTTCATTTATAATATTCTTATTAAGCTGGCATTGTATCATGAACCTTTCACCTCAATTACTTTGATGAACATCCTCATTATATTATTTCTGTACACATTTGCTCTGTATTCTTAGGACTCATGGCTAGAAGTGATAATCCCTGGTGAAGATTTTCATTTTGATAAAGATTTCCTCATTACTTTTCAAAATAGTGAAAAATATAGATGTCTACAAATCACATTATCCACAAATAGTGATGATGTTAAATATTGCATGCCATTTTTTTCTACTTATGGTTTTGTGTTAACATGGGTAAGAGTTTGGCTTCTGTTGTTTCTGAATTTAATAGGGATGCTTATTATAACTGTCTTCTGGATAACAAGAAAATATACATGATACTTGTTGTGGTGTATTATTTGGTTAAGAATATCCTATGAAGAACTTTAACAAAAAAAAATTATAGTATTACATTGCATGTCATATTTATAAAGTTGACTTTTCTTAAATATATATGCGCCATACTCAATAAATTCTTCACTATTTAGGTACACAGCCGAGTGATCATTTAATTATCATTTTAGATGGCATATATAGAAATTTTTACTCTGTACAAAAGAATTCTAAAAACTAAACTCTATTAGTCAATGGTGCTGGAAGCAAACACCCTAAAGGTGTATAACATTTTCCTCCCTGCTAAAATACTGACCATTTACTTGCCTGATTTAAGAAATTCTCTTTTGAAAGGATTATCCTTAAGTGCCTGTGTAAAGAAGCACTTGTCATGGTCCGAGAGCTATATTTGAAAACTTAAAGAACTCTTACAAATCTGTTTAATGAGTGCACTTGGACTTTTCTTTCAGGGGCACTGCGATTGCTGGCATTGTGTTCGGAATCGTGTTCATCATGGGCGTCATTGCGGGCATTGCCATCTGCATCTGCATGTGCATGAAAAGCAACCGCGGGCCCCGGGTGGGCGTCATCCGAGCCGCACACATCAACGCCATCTCCTCCTACTCTGGTAATCAGCGCCGTCTCCTCCTGCAGGACGGTCTGGTGTGTTAGCCATGCTCTGCTCCTTAGAGAGAGGAGACGTGAAGACTCATTGAAATCATCTCTAATTTCCTAGAGCATTACTAAGTAAATGTAGATCAAAGCCTGGCTCTGAAGAGAGCTGACTTACTTAAATTCAAATAAGAAAGCCTGTCTTGTATTTGAGGGTATTCATATTTCCACTGGTTGTCTCATTAACTACAATTGCCGTTCTGTCAAAATCAAGATAAAGAAACAATTCATAGCCACTGTCTACCTGCCAGTGAGTTCTGGCAACTAATTTTAGAGAAAGTAAGTTTTATGTCTCAGTAAAGTAGCTTCTGATTCAATAAGCATATATGTCTGGAGAAAAAAGTATCGAGGAGAGTTTTAATATACCTTAACTATGCAAAAAGAGCATCTTAAAACTCTCAACAAATAACAAAGGTAATATATTAATAATTCAATAAGCATTCATTGAGAATCTGCTAGAAATTCCACATGTAAATATATTGTATACATGTGATTACATGAACAAAATGCTGTACTCTGTGCTAGAGATTCCAATAGCATTTTCTAATTATATGTGTATAATTTGACATATAAGAAGGCAAACAAGCTTTATGTTTAATTCATCCTTAGGAAAATAATTTTCCATTGACACCCGTGTCCTTCCTCTCAACCCCTGTGGAAAAAGAACAGACACCTTTCATATCCAATCTGTCCTCTGTATTAATTCCCTAACCCTTCCTGTTTTCCCTCTAACTGCTTCAACAGAAAGAAGCACATTTCTGATGAATGTGGGAATGATAACTTCTCCAAGTCATCTTTGCTCCGTTCCTACACTTCTCTGGTATCTTACATTCAGCACCTTAGAGCTCAGTCTGAGGTATTCTTCCCCATGAGTCCACACTTCTTTAACTGTAATGGTTGATACATTGTATTAACTTGAGAAGTTTAGAGGTTTAACTAAGAAACTCAGCAGCTCTGCTTCCTAGGGAGTAAAGGACATGCCATACTGCTTTAGGACTCTGATCGTTGTATTAACTTGAGAAGTTTAAGTGTTTAACTGAGTTACTCTGTAAAGCACCAGGGGCCTTACTTTGTAAACATTCTGAACCTGTGTGAGAGGAGTCCACAAAGATGGTGTGAATGCCACACCTACCAAGGCATGTGCCCTGCATATAGTATAAGGGAGGAAAAAACTCTTCCCCCATCCTTTTATTCTTGTTACTTTTGCTGTCTTCTGCCACCATGAACTGTAGCCCTCTGCCATGCCACCCTGCCTTGGAGCCAGATGATTATGGACTGAAACCTCTACAAACTGTGAGCTAAATAAACCTTTCCTTCCTTAATTTTATGCATGAAGTACTTTGCCTCAACAATGAGAGAAAGGCAACTCAGATGTTAACGGTAGTGTTTGACTTTACAGTCATAAATCTCATTTATATGTTAATAATTCCCAAAGATGTGTATCTACATTATATACTTTTTAAAAAAAATTTCACATTCATTTAATCCCAGTGAATGTGGGAAATCTTCACTCAGTTGCTTAATACATGTGCAAAATGTGACAGGATTAAAATTGTATTTATAATCTCTCTCTATCCAAAACCTTCACCTTTCTCAATTGATGACATCTCTAGTCTTCTTGTTGCTCAGACCAAAATATTGGATTAATTCTTGACTCAACTCTTTCTTCACAGTCAATCTACTAAGAAAATGTCTCAGTTGTACCTAAAACCTATGTTCATACCTGACAATTCACCATGGTGAGAAGTAAGCAGTCATTTTCCTAGTGCGAACCACACTGTCCACACTCACCTCCTTTATGTTCTTGCCTCTCTGACACATTTCTGAGTCTCCTGGACTCATAGGTCTGTTACCAACAAAGTAGCCTGAGTCAACCTGTTAAACAGATGGCATATTGCTCCTATATTCACAGTCTTGTAAAGACTGTGAAGAGCCAAAGCCAAGGGTTCCTCATTTTATCCAGTGAGTAAGGCATTCTTTAACCAGGGCTTTCAGGTCACTGCATGAGTTGGCCCTTTTGTCCTCTATGCTTCTTTCCTCTCTCCCTTGCCACATGGACTCTATCAGATTTTGGTCCCAGGCTGTTCTTGAACACCAAGACATGCTACCATCTCAATGTCTTGGCAGAAGCACTGGCTTCCTTGTTTCATTCAGCCCCTCGAGCAAAGGTCACCTTCTGAGTGAAGATTGTGATGTGTTGCTCTGCATAGTACCCCCGTCCTCATTAGGCCACTCATTTCTTTCCAGAATACTTTTCTGAGTTACTGAAGAGCAGTAGTGTGAACCTATGGCACGCATGCCGCAGTGGTCTGCGTGTATCACTGAAAGCTCTGTTATTGTGTTTTTCTTTTAATGTGTGACTTTTTCTAAACTGACACCTCAGTATTCAGGTTTAATTGCAATGCTGGCATTTTGTGATTAATAAGTGAGATTTGGGTTCTAGTCTCTAAAAGGTTCCCGATCACTGCTACAGATTGTCCAATCATATTATTTATGATTGGCTGCTCATCTCCTTCTGCTAGAATACTAAATTCATGAGCCAAGGATATTGGACTATTTTATTTGCCTACCTATGCCCAACACATAGAACCATATTAGGCATTCAGCAAACACAGCTAAATGAATAAAATTCACAACTTATGATAGACTAAATTTAGTCATATTCCAGTACCTATGGAATTGGCTTTAAGTTCCACCTTGGAGTCAGATTTTACTCCCTACAAAAGCAATTTGCAATTCTGAATATTCCAAAGTTGTCAAGAATGCTATTGGTGTAAAGATGTTGGAATCTGAGATACCAGGAAAAGGGGAGATGGGACTATTTCCTTCACTCTTCGTATCTCCTCATTGCTTTCCTCTAGTACAACTTATAGTTCAAGAGAAGAACAGAAAAAAGTCAGAGACATTGATTGGAGCAAAGTCTCCAGACATAGAAAGAAGTATTCTAGAGATTACATTTTCAATATGCATTTGTCTGATCAAAAACATTTAATCAAGATTAATTTTAAGACATTTAAAAATATTTTGCAATATATTTCATTTTTATTTTGCCTTTCAGTAAGTTCAAATCTTGAATAAAATTAGATAATAAAAGACCATTTTAAAATGAGAGGTCAAGCTTTTTGTTTGTTTGCTTTAGTTTTGAGTTTTCTATTTTGTGCTGGAAACATGTTTTCAAACTGTAAAATGGCATCATAGTTTTACTCACAGATCACAGTAGCCCCTTGTTGAATTTTCAGGAAGTGCATTGTTCTGGAAAATGAGTAATACAAGAAACATCATGACCCTTACTCTGGAAGTATTTTTACTGCAAAAAGACTGGGTCTTTGAAAACATAATGTGCTACATTGCTTCTGATTTCCTTCTCAAGGTCACTAAGTTTTACTCAAAGAATCCTATTGGTATTGACTGCTTTTCAAAATCTTTCAAGTGTAGACATGCAAAAGACTTCTACTCATGCTAATTAATTAACCCTGTGATGACTGAGTCAACAACTCAACTTATTGCATAATATAGTTCTCTTGCCTAAGAGCCAGAGAAGTGGAAGCACATAAAATACCAAAGGTCATTTTATTCCACAGTGAAAGTGCTCAGTGAAAACCTGCAGTTGGTGCGATTACTCTGCAGTTGGAAGGAGAGAATGTCATCCTGCTGTCACATCTGCCCCTTTGTTGGACAAAGACCTTCTGAAATTAAGCTTTTCATCCCTGCCATGTTGAGCACAATGAGCAGGTGTTACCTTCCATTGAAACTATTTTTAAAATGCCCATGTGAAGATAGAATTATTTGTCAAGGTGTACATTTCTAATATTTTTCAGAATTTCAATATACACAAAGAAAAACGGTCACGTTAAAATGTAGGATTGGCTGCTACTTGCACATTTAAAGGGAAACGATATAGTAAAACCATAAGAAAAAGATTGGCAAAGATATAAAATTAAGTGCCAACAAAAGAAAATCAAGGAGTTTCAGTACCATGAGGAAAACTGAGATTTGAAGCACAATATTGAGTCTCTTGGTAGATGGGTCTGGTGGGCAGGCTCTGGGGAACTGGAGAATGCCAACAGGAGAAGGGAGTTGCAAAACTGAGGGAAATTGGCATTTTTAAGTCATCACAAGAAGATTTGCATCAAAATCATCAACAGATGCTAAAACTAAGGAGGAAATGTTGCTGAGGAACTAAATTACCAGATCTTAGAGTACCTATAAGATTTCTTACTAAGAATAAGTAAAAATATTATTGGTTGAGAAACCAAATATTTGACCAGGTGATCCAAATTAATAGTACCAAAGAGGGACAGACAGACACCAGGCATGTTTAAATGCACCACTGTGAGGATCCCACATGAAGGGATACTGGTATAGTTCCCTCAGAGTTCACAGCTTAAATATTTGTTTGAGAAAATATCTGACAAAAACAAACTGAAGAACAAGAATTGACACAGAAGTCTGGGGAACTAATATTTATTTGGGAAATAAAGAATCAAAATTTGGGTACACTGAGTCAGAGCAGCCCCCAACAGTGTCTTGTAAGAGAAATGTAGGAAATTCTTCTTATAGGGAATTTTGTGAAAAATTTGTTTTCAGAGATAGCTCTTTGACTAGCAGAGAGCCTAAAATGATCCCTCTCTTGATTGGGTACTCCCCAATGCCGATTACCTGGCTCCCAGTGCTGATCTTGATCCGTTGGAACACTCTGTGATTTGACATTTGGCAGATCCTGAGTACAGTCATCTCAGGATCTCTTGAGTCTGCTTGATAAAGTCTTAGTCATCTCCTTTTCCTCCACATTCTGCACAATGCCCGACTTGTAGTTTTTAAAATCTTTTGGAAATATTTTATTAAGAAATAAACACTGCATTGGCACCTCTGAATTTACAAATGAGCACCATCTTATTAGTTCACACACTGAATCTGAGGAGACTTTTGAGCATGAAAAAAACCACTTAGAGACTA